GAAAAGTTTACCAGACATTCTTCTTAAAGAAGAAGTTTGGTCTCACTGTTTAGATCAATTTCCTTTTTAGAAGATATGTTAGGCCTACACCTCCCTCAGAAAAGGAAAAAGAGATGTCTCGGGTGAGAATGCAGCACAATATCCCAGTGAAAACTGGCGTGCTCTTCCAGGAAAGAAAACAGGACTCAGTGCAGCAGTTGCTTTCTGCAGGAACCCAACTGCTCCCTTCAGACAGTTTCTTCTGCACAATCTGCATTAACCAATTAAGAAAAAAACATTTGCTAAAGAATCATAAAACGCATTAGGTATACATGATAAAAATGAAGATTGGAAGGCTTATTTGAGAGACCATCCAAAGGGCGGGCAATAACTGGCTGGCCTTAGTATGCTCCGTGCCCTTATGGATGCTTTGGCACCTCTGTTAAACCAAGTAGTTGCCTACTAACTGTGTGCTCACAGAGCTCTCACTGTGATAAATTCCCCAGCTAGAAATTAAATTAGTGCTCCTATTTGCTCTTGCGTGACTCTGTAATGGGTTTCATCCCTTGTAGAACTTATATCCGCTAATTAACAGAAGTTGATTTCTTCTCAAGTCCAGCGTACAAGATTTATTAAATTTATATCCTGGGCAAAATCCTACTAATACTTCCTAGCAAATGTGTAGGAAAACCAATGTGCTTGTACAGTTTGTTGAGTACCTGTGCCATATGCCCCGGGCACCCTGAGTGCCTTCACAGGCGGCGGAAGATCTGAAGCAATAGACCAAAATAGCAAATACCTTTGTAGCGGCCCAATGCACATTATCTGTATTTAATATGTCTTTCCTTAGTAAATGAGCTAACGTTGGATATAGACTTAAAACTGCTTCCAATTTAACACTCAGCTCCTTGGCTGGCAGAAGAGGAATTCACAGGAATTTATATTTCTCAGCGTAATGTTAATTAAAATGTACGTTCAGAGGCAAAGACAGGCTGGCTTTTTTTTAACAACATTAATGCCGTTTAGGAAAATAGAATTAAATAGATAATGAAAGCATGATGCTTCTTCCTTTGGACAAAGCATAGATAATAATTCATAATAAAATGAATCAAAATTATATTAAACCTTGATTAAAATAAAATGTAAGCAAAGAAAATTACTTCAGTGCTTCCCAAACACTTGTGCTTCTCAAGCAGCAGAAGAGAATAAAAACAAAAGGCATCTAAATCTAGTTGGAAAGGTGGACTTCAGAAGCAAGATAAAGCTTAAAATATCAAACCTTGTACAGTCCAAAAAAAATCTTAATCAGAATGTTTAGCTCTGACATCTTTTTTTCATATGCATATTAGTGTATCTGCCTTAACTTGCTTGAAGAGAAACCAATAATATGTATAATAAGCTTTTTACTCTGCTTTGCTATGGAAACAAGGCATGTGTGATCTCACTCTGACTTTCTGTATTTTCTCAGATAATTTTTAACTTGTTGGATGATTTCACCTAATTAGGAAGGGGGAAAAAAAAGAAAAAAAGATAGAGGTGGTGTCAAAAGTAATCCCTTTCTTACAGTTTGTAGGAAACAGGTAAGTAAAAAAGAGGGACTCAACTGCATGGGCCCAACATGAGCATGAATCCACAGCTTCTGCGAGAGCAGAGAGCGGGGATGACGTGGGACGACGTGGGACGGCGTGGGATGGCGTGGGACGGGGTCGGACCCCACGAGGTGCAGCCACGGTGGAAGCTCCCGTCTCCCCCAGGCAATCAGCCACGGTAGAGGCCAGGCTTCACACAGCTACCTGCGTAACTTCGATTCAAACCACTTTCCCAGGTAGCTCTTTCAGTCCACCTTTTGTAATAAAATTGTAGTTTTAAAGACATACCTACAGTAGAATATGCTAGAAAAAGGGACAGAAAAATACCTTCCGAAATGACCTTAATATTCAAGCTCATGACTTCAGCTTCTCCCGCCTCTCATCATTTCCTTACTTAGGGCAGCAATGCTTGCTGTTGATGGTAATAACAATGTTTTTCAAGCCTCTACACAACAATATTGACCTGCTGTTGATCAATGTACCAGCAGTGTATAATAACTCGCTGCGGTTTTCCCTCCAGCTGCCAGCACTCCTCCGTTCCAGGTTCATTTCACCTGAAGGAAGAGGCTGCTTCAAAAGCACCCGCACCTGGACTGCGCTAGGCAGGAAAAACAAAGCAAAACCAAGACCTTCTTAACTGGAGATGCAATTCCTATTTGGATAGGCGACACTAAAATAAAATTGCAGCCTTCGTATAACTGTGCCTACTTGCTAATTCCCTGGTGAGTTACAGTTAAGGCACTGTGAGAGTAATGAAGTCTTCATCTTGATTGGAAAATGTTTCATTATATGAACAAATGAGTCACTTGTCCACACCCAGGATCGTTTTTTTTCCTCTCTCTCTCTGTTTAACTGTACAGAAACATTAAAATATAACAGCAGGGAACTCAGCCAGGTTTCATCTCCCCACCAACCGCAACAACCTGCATATACACACAAGATTTCTATAAAAAACCCTAAGTTCCAAGCAAGAGAATTAAAGATTTTCTTATTTCTAGCAAAAGTTAGATGCTCTTATTTTAACCTTTGTTCATGTTCATACTTCCAGGCATGAAGTGCTACTAAAGCACGTTACACTTGGCATCTCTTATTACTGAAGCAGAAGGCAATGTAATCTTGTGAGAAAGTGTAATAATGCAGTATTCATTTTGCTTCTGTGGCTGGAAGCCAACTCTATATTAATATTCATTTCCAGTATACAGAGCCACAATATTTCATTTATTTTAAGAATTTACAATTAATTTGGTATGATTCTGTTATCTGCTCCCAATTTCCTTCCCTGTTTCTTTTAGCTGAAAAAGCAGCTCTTGTATAGACTTTAAAAAAGTAAATTCACAACTGAAGCATCAAAAGATTGCTACTGGCTACTAAAAGCAAGAAAAACAGGGACAGTACCAAATGAACTTAGAAATATTACAGATGACAATGAAAATTAGCTTTCTGCAAATTGCAAAAATTCAATCTGCAGAAGTTCTCTGTTGACTTTTTCCTTTCCAAACTCAGCAGATAAAACACCCTTTGCAGAATGCTGTTTAGTACTGTAACCAAACCAGAGAAAGTTGTTTGTCTGCTTTTCCTTTCTGTTTTCAAATGTTTTCGAGCACCGCACAGCATGAAACTGCAAGTATGTGAATCTTTGTAAAATGTACTAGATACAGGTATTCAAAACAATTACAATAAGTAAAATCCTTAGTATTTAAAAACTTCAGAAAAAACATAAATGGATGCCTCTGCTTCCTAAGCCCTTGATTTCAAGCAGTGCAACCGCTTTTGCAATGTAAGTGCATTTATAATTAACACAAGTTATTACCTAACCAGCCAGTCGTAAGAGTTATAATTCCATTCTCCTAATACGCATTTACCTTCCTTACCCGTGAAAGAGGCTGAAAAGTAGTTTACCTTCCAGCTGTTGGCACTTAGCTTCCTATAAAGTGAGATTCTACCCAAGTCCAGACTCAACAGACACCGAGAGAGCAGTCAGTACAGCAGCTACCAAATCAGAAATCCCATCAATGATGAAACCATCCAAGATCTGCAGTGTGCCGTGGGAAATGCCAGTTTTCCAATATAGCCTGGCAATATTTAAGAAAGAGGGGAGTGAGGGGGAAACTGACTGCGAAAGCTATTTAAGTGAAATGAGACTTCCCCATGTTCAGAAACCTTCATGAAGACTCCTACTGCGTACTCCCCTGATATATGTGTATGTTCACACATACATATGAACAACCTATTTTAGCAAAGCTTGTCTGTCAGTACAACACAAGATCCGACTCTTGGTCTAGAATAAATGCTGAGGAAATTACACAGTGAACGCGGAAGACTGCATACAATATTTAAATGTTTAATCTTGGGTTTTGTCATTTTGCGGGATTAAATTCTTTTTGTTTGTAGAGATTTAGGAAAAAAGAGAGGGGGAAGCAGAGCAGCTTTGCTGAAGTATCTCTGAAAATTCAACCTTAAAATTCAAAGAATTTCGACAGAGTAAGGTATGTATCTGCTTGAAAAGATGGTGAGATCACGCCACAGATGTACCAAAGACACCTTACGTATTATATACTCATTGCTGAATAATGTAAGAAGCCGTGGAGGTGCTACTTTATTACAAAACCAGTATTTTCACCAGCAATCTAGTCAATCAAAATTCTTACACCCAGAAAACTCATAAACCATGTTTTCCTGATTATTCATTTGTGTTTCGCTATTTCTAATTAAAAGGGCCAAGAGAACAGCTGGGGAGACAGACTAACTGGGTAAAATAGAATTTATGAAGAAAAACATAAAGAATAGATGATACAACTTTTTTTAAAAGGGTTTTTCCTTCCTCATATCTTTAGTTTAAGAGCTATTTTAAACACCAAATTTGATAGCAGTCAAGTATTTTTCCCTCTTTTTTTAAAAAAGCAAAAATATTTTTAAGTAGATGCTATTCCTGCATGCACTTTGAGGTTTATTTCCTGAAATTTAACTTGCATAGTTCTCATCTTAATGAAGTGTTTGGCATTTTATTTTCAGCCAGCCAAATTAGAAAAGTAAAACAGACATTTCATTTGCACTCTTTAGTTATTATATATCACATTTAACACATCTATACTTTGCTTCTAAATGGCTGTGCAATGAGAACAGAAAAAAGTAGAATAAACAGGAAGAGCCCAAAAATAAGACATCTACCAATCAAGGATATTAATACTGTCACTTCAGTTGCCTGAACACTGCATTTCAGTTTCAACATACCACACTGTATCAAAACCAAGTAATATTTTTTCTTTTTTTCATTAAAAAAGAGAATAATTTGAATCTTATAAATTAAACCTAAAACATGCTATAGATACTTTTAGTTTGACATCCTAAAACTTCAAGTCATCTAACAGAAATTAATTGTACAGACCATTCATCTCATCCGCAAACTCAAGTAAAAAATAAACTAAAGCTTACCTTCAGTACACTGCAGGAAGCTGATAATGAGCAGAAACCAAAAACTTTGCATTCTGCAGCCAGAAGACACCATTATTGATCCCTGTAAGAATTTTCTTTGTATTCCTTAATGAATCCAGTTATAAAAGCCCAGCATCATCGAAACCAGTGGTCTGCATTATTCATCTTCATACCTGGAGAAGCAGAGGATTTGGAAGAAAAGGAGAAAAAAAAAATCCCCATCAATAGCTGAACACCAATAATTTGGAATACCAAATTTTACTTGACATGAAGACAGAAATTTTTAATAAAACCTGACAGTACACCTGTACTGTAGCTGGGAATTTGGCAGGTTTGTGGGATGTAATCTCTCAAGGTCAGTGATCATTAAACAGAATGCCAAATAATGATACATGTTAAAGTTGAAAGTACGAATGTTATTGATGTACTTGCACTAAGACACAAGGAAAAAAAAAAAAAGAGAACGTTTTCTCTGAATATAAGAAATTGGATTTGCAGATGACTAGGCTGAGCTTTTCCCACTCCCCAAATCTGATACAACCTGCAATTCTCTACCTCAAAGAACAACAATAAAACTAAATCTAGCATACTGCCATATTTCTTAGTGATTCAAAACACAGAGTGGCTGAGAACAGTGGAGCAACACCACTCGACAGCAAGGCTCTGCCGGTCCCCTCCCTGCCGTGGCTCCAGCGTTCCCTTCGTGCTACACATAGGTCGTTCTCCTCAAATGAGAAGCCCTAACAGCAACTTTGCTGACAAAATAATCTGTTTGGTGAGGAAGCTGCTTCATATGACTCTGCAGTTTGCCATATTTCTACCCAATAAACACCTTCAGAAAAAACGGAATAAACATAATGGATGAGACTCCCCTGTCCTTAGCCTCTGACGAGATTTGTCTCCAACTGAGAAATATGAACCGAACTGCTCCTGTAAACGATGTACCAAAGGAAGAATTCTTAAAGCTATCATTTGCATTTGAAAAATATAATTATGGTGATAGAGTGCAGTTGCTGTGATAGAAGATTTGACAGCAGAGTGCTCCCTTTTGCTAATGACTTCATTCTCTCACCAGCCAACTGAGTAACTACGTACATCCTCTTCCATATCTCACTGTACAAAGAGAGATCATGCTTCAGCCCCGACTATTACAGTTTGGGAAGCCAGATAAAAATTAAAATCCATATAAAACCAAATGATTTTTAACTAGAAAGCTGGCTCTATATGTTACAGATATGTGAAAGAACTCTAGAAGAATGACTGTCTGAACATTTTGGCAATTATAGATCCAAAGAGCAGAGTCTGGTGCCACACTGGCTTGGTTTCTCCAAGACCAATGGACAGGGCTGCATGGATGTATTCCTGAGATATCTGAAATTAACGTTACTTTACAAACATACAACAATGACTATGTAAAAATTTAAGTGGCAGGATCCAAGAGCCACTTATAAGCCTTACGAGTACCGGAGCGTGTTGAAGGCTTTAAAAATACATTTATCCTTTTGGCAAGGAGAACTGGAAAGGATGAAGAGCACTCAATGCCAGACAAAGAAATTCTATAAACTGCACATCATTTTCAGAAGTAGAAAGTGTTAACTCTTTTTATATTAGTCAATGTTAATATTAATCAATGATCAGTTTGTTCCCTGGGCACAGACAGCAACAAGACTGACACTCACTTTTTTCCCCAAGGAGAGAAAGACAGGAATTAACAGAAAACATGGAACAATTTCTCTGGCTCGCAGTGAAGGCAACGTGGCTGTGGCAGAATAGGAGATTATTAAATAGCCAAGTAGGCTTCTTTACTTGGCTCCTCTTTAAGAGGAGTGATGCCACTTCAGTTTAGACTTCCCTCTCACACAACACCAGCGTGCTTGTGATTCTCACACAGGGAAATGAAAGAGAACTGACATCTGAGGCCGACTGATTTTATGTTTATTTATACATAAAAACAAACCCTTTTTCCAATTTCCAACTACAGACAGGTGCTCTTCAATCACAGGCGCTTTTAACCGCACATATTTCAACAAAGAGCATGCAATAGCAACCGGAGCACTTCAGCGCAGAAGAGCCAGAGCGTGGCTCTCCCTGGCACACACCCCAGTGCCTAGAGGTAAGAGATGTGCCCTCAATTTAGATGGTGATACACCAGCTGCTACAGGACAACCCAGAAGCAGTTACAAAGAGACAGTCATATTGTATCTCTAGATCTTTCACACTGGACTGCGAGGGCTTTGCAACTACAAAAAAAAAAAATAATCTAAAAATCCACAAAGGATGCACTGCATTCAGCAGAAATTACAATTGCAAAGGAGCTCCTGCTGAGTAAAGAAGAAAAAATTGCCACCATGATATATCCAAAAAAACCCCTGGAGATAGTTCAGCTAAAAGCTTGGGAAGAGCTTGGATTAATTTTTTACCTGTAGCACCCAAAGGAAAAATCATAAAACTATTTCACAGACACTACAGACTAATCAGCGTAATTTCAGTAAGCAATCAGAATAATCCAAGAGAATAGATGAGGAACAATAATGGCTAAAAGTGAAATTAAGTCAGCCTTCTGATTGCTCCCAGTCTGTCCAGAAGATTTTGACTTCCTGAGATGCAAGTTTTATCATTATTTGTGTAACATATCACTGCATACCCAAATTTTGAGACATCTTCCTTCACCTTCAAGTGGATAGTGACATACCTACACTTTATCATCCCTAAACTCATGGGTTCCTTGTGGGCTTTTGTTTAATTGGGAGGAGGGTTGTGTTAAAAACAAAACCAAGGAGAGCACTACTTGTGGTACCCAATGCCTCTCTAAGAAATAGCTACAAAATTTATGGTGGAGACTTTTTCTTTTTAAATACAGTAAGAGTTCCTGACCTTGTAAACTGACTTATTTTAACTATTTTAATAAGAAACCACACTTTCTGAAAGGATAATGATGTTTTTGTGATACCAAAGCCAGCAGAAACTATTCAACTAAGAATAAATGCAAAATATGTTTAGGACAAATTCAAGTGCTTTGTGCAATATATTGTTCTCTCTGGATTGCTGTAGCCTACAGACATAGAATTTAACTCAGTGTGCTGCTGCAAAAGGAATTCAAAATAAACTAACCAGCCCCTACTAGATTATCAGTAACACATGTTTTTCTAAAAAAGCAAGAAAAAAATTAAGCGGTGTTTGAAAACTGATGCAATAGGGTTTGGTTTTGCTTCTTTCTTTTCTTTCGAATAAAAATTAACAGCTTCACAGCGAACCATTTTTAATGCAACCTATATATTTAAGAAACTCTATGTGGCCCCAAGTAAAAGAATGGTGCCATTCTGAACAAACTATTCATCAGCATAACAAAAGCTAATCCTGCAAAAAGGTACCCAGACATGAGCTGGAGCCAGAGAGCACTCCGGCTATAGACACTGCCCTCAGCCACGTCTTCCTGACCATCCATCTATCAGCGATACGGTGACTGTCAGTGGCATCTCACAACAACAACAACAAATCCCAAACCAAACAAGTAGGACTGGGAAAAGACATATTAAGTTACTTCTTTGTAAACCGAAAAAGGAGACCATGGCAAGCGGCTGTCCTGTGCAAATAACTTATTTCCCCTCAGACGTTAATAAACCTCTTCTCCGGATCACTGACTGCTTGGGCTTGTGGGTGGGGCAAAGGGAAACTCCCTAGAGCAAAAGGTTGCTTGAATTTCAGAGCGCAATAAAAGCCGCCCAGAAAATTTCAGCTGTAACTTAAACCCCTACCTCTGGGCCATACTGCAGTCTCTCATAGGAAAAAACCACCAAACCTCCACGGGAAACAAAGCGGTTCACCTAGTTAAGTTTCTTCGCATATGTGCTGTTAAAGACGACTAGATCAGCAACGGAAATGTTAATGTTCAAACCTGTACATTGCAAAGGTATTGGCCATCTCTTAATACCGTATTCATGAGCTGTGCTCCAAGTCCCAAATATCTCAGTGCCCCTGCCTTGCTTCCTTGTTCTTCTGTACTTCTGAAACTTCTTACAGACGGAACACGACGGCTGCAGAACACGTGCGACTGTTGGCCGTCCCTCTCCCCGCAACATTGCTCAAGAGCACCCCAGAGATAAGAGAAAGCTGCTCCAAGCATGCTCCTTGAAATACTTTCATCTTTGAAGAGAAAGACCTCTAAAGGACTGCTGCGTCCCGACTCGACTCTGTTTAACCTTCCCAAGGTTTTATTTTCAAAAGCCAAAAAAGGGTCTTTTAAGAGCTTCCAGACCACTGACACAGCATGCTTAAGAGCTGCTTTCTCCCTCCTGTTCCGTCCAGCTTTTCAGGCAATTAAGACAGAGGGGAATGCAGAGATCTTTCCAGCTAAGCAAGGACGTTTTTCTTTAGCTAAAAGTCTTTCCGACTAACGCTGACGTATTTTACAATATAGCGCTTAATTTTCCAAATCATCTTAGACACACCACAAAGCACTGGCAACCTCAGTCAAGCTTTAATGTCTCTATTACAGAAATAAACATTACACTAGCTTTACAGGAGATGAGGCACAGAGAGGTAAGGAACATCAGCCACAGCTGCACCACTTGTATACGCCGAGGAACTATATCAGAACCCAGGCAAGCCTTCTTATAAAACCTGTATGACCTACCTTGCCACACATTCAGCACCCTCACCGCCTTTCATAACCCAGTTTATGAAAGTAAGTAATACTGTAATATATCTGAGACACTCTGCAGAGGAAAGGAGGGGGAAGAGGAGGGAAGGGTGAGTAGATATATATATATTCATACAATATAATAGACTACTTAGTCTCCTGAGAAATCACGTGTCCACGTGCCTTCCCATCATGAAGCTTTCCCAATTTAAAAAAAAAAAAAAGTTAAACTTCCTATAATCTCTAACATAAGAATTTAATTAGTGCGGTGTGATTAGTAAAACTGTCTAAGCCACATTAGTAAAATACTAGAATGAGACTAATACTGCTTGTGATCCAAGAACTACAGTTTTATATGTATCTGCAGGGACCCAGCTCTAGTTTTCAATGTTGAACATATCTTCAGGTGCATTCAATATGAGTTATTCCTAAGTTTTTAATATGGTTATTCAAAAATTGACTTACATTAATAACTTCGCACTAGTCCTACAGTACCAGATCGTAGAAAACCTGCAAAGTTACAAGATCTTACAAAAGATCCTAAAGCAAGACCCTGTGCTGGTTCAGTTAGCGTCCTTCTACTACCTATGGTAAACAATCAATGGCTGATCTTTTCCAATTAAACTAATTGCACATTGCAAGAAGAAAGGAAAGGCTAACTCTGCTCTCTCTAAAATTGGTTAACAAAGACTTCTTTTCCAATAAAAGCAATTCAATGCTTAAAATGTACCAGTGTCTTATCTTCAATTCTGTATTCAACAGTCCCTATTAATTGTCACCTTGAACACTGGACTTCTAACCCAACACATCTCTTTCCACGTTGCATGGAAGGAATACAGTATCAGGGAAGGGAATAATACAGTAAGAACAAGACTTGACCAAGGTCATCCAATCTTGCAACAAAAAAAAAAAAATTACTTCAATGCATTC